AGCCGTCCACTCACGAGGTCAACGAATTTGACGCATGCGCAGAACCTCAATTTACAATTACTTACTAACCGGGCAATGTCTTTTTTTTTGCTGTGTCATTTAGCTCCATGAGATGCATTACCCAGTAACATAAATTCATACTATAATTAAATAAATGATCATCATCTGAGGATACATCAGGTAAATTAGTAATTGAAAAGTTACCATAATTATAATGATTTAAAATACAAGTTAGAATGGTGTCAGCTATTTCAGCCTTCTCCCCTTGACTCTAACATCTGATTTCTTGTAGTGATAATAAACTGCTTGGGTGAACATCTACACTTTCCATATTCAGATATTCGAGTACCTATTCTAAGATAAGATGCTCACCAACAAGTAGCAACAGCTCTTCATGTGCTCTATAGTTTGATTTAACGTTTACATCACTTCTTTCAAGAATGGTTCCAAAGTAATTCAATGTGCCTTCTACCCTTGTGTTCCCTTTAAACAGACATCTATAGGCTTTCTAGAGAAAGATATTATAGGAATTATTATTTGGCATGTTGAGATGAAAAATATTGTCATTGTACAGTAAGTATTCAATTAATTAGTAGTAGCCGTACTAATTAAGATGGAGTGTGAGTGTAATATTGAAGTGTAATATTTGTTTTTGTTGTCGTTTATCTCTTCCCTAGTATACCATTTTTACAAATGTGAGATTTATTACTCCCTGTTGGACGAATTCTGATTTTGGGATTTGTGTTTTTAATTCTGTCCATGCCATTTTTGCAAGCCAAGGTTAATTTAAGTTTGTAATTTATTCAGTTGTTGCCTAACTATCATATGACTGAGTTATTAACGGACACACTTCATTGCTTTCTTAAACTACATGTGTACCATTGTTAAATAGATAACAAGTATTTACAATTTACTTACATGGAGTAAATCTTGTTGTGTATGCCACATCTCGAACGCAAATGGATGAAGGTGCTCAAATCGTTTTGCTGGTGTATCAGCTAAGGATCTTAATTTCTTGGCACCTTCTTACCCAACTCTTGTAAGTTGATCACCGCCAACAACATTTGGCATTCTGGTACCTGTGAACAATTTAAATTAGATAAATCATGAACATGTCTAAAATAAATCCCACATTTGATGATACATCGTGACACTTTCAAATTGCAGAATATGCTTGACTGAATGGGTGAGGTATTGAATAACATTTGAATATAAGGGTTTTGCCTTACAAATGAAGGGGATGCTTTTTAAAAATTTTCACTAAAACTAATATTTTAATATTTGAATGAATTTTGGATAATAATCCATGAAAGTTGTGTAGTTACGAGAGCCAATGTTTTTGCTGTACCCAGTAGGCAAAAATAATATCATTCTCAGCAATGTTCCAGGCTACATTATGAGTTGTCACTGTACTGTGCATTTTTGTTATTTCCTATAATTCTTATATCATTTTTAAATATAATATACTCAACCTATATAAATTAAATGGGGACAGTTCCCTTAGCATTTACAGTATTTCCTCCTTCAGAAGACCCCTTATTTTTTGGACATTTATGAATTGAAGGTATCCCCGGTTATGCATCCAATGAGTTTAATCTTAAAAATGAAGATATTTTTACTAAAATATGTGTGTAAAAAGTGTATTTTATTGAATGAAAATCATTATGGTAGTTCTTAAAAAAAGCTTGGTTTGTTTTTTTATGAGATAAACTGCATACATTTCACAGTGTATGGTGAACAAGACAACATGATTTACACTATTTTAGTTGTATTCTACCATAGAATCTAAGCATCTTTTTTTCCCGTTGTCAGTTATATGTCAGCTTTCCCTCAATGGATTGAAAGAAATGTCTGTCGTCCACCATCGTTGTTGTGAACTATTTTGTGGGTGTTATAACTCCAATAATATTTGGTAGAACGCTAGGAAACTTATATTGTTAATTTGTAAGCATAGATGTCTGTATTGTTTTATAACAAAATTGTGGTTTTTGGAATGTTTTTTTTACAAGTGTATATAGAGAAATTTCATAAGTGTAGTTAAGACATTTGAATGAGGAATTATATAGTTTTCATGTTTTTTTTCGTTGAATCTGTTTTTTTCCACTTTTTTCTTTGATTTTCTTGTGATGTCAATCAATAAAAAAAGTATAGTGTAGCAATAGCAGTGATATAAAAGTACCTACCACCTTGATAAACAATTGTGAAATTATTTTTAGAAGGCAATTTATATTATCTAGAAGCTAGCCAGATAATTTATAAACCAAAACATAGCATAAGCACTAGTGGTTAACTCCTTCACAATATTCTCATAGCTATTCAAGATTTCAGTTCAATTTTGTATAATACAGGAAGAGACTTCTGTGACATCTGATCTGAATACGTGTGTGGCACATGCTTTGGTAACATTTCATCCAACCACTTGAAACAAGGTATATTGGATGCTATAATTTTGCCAAGGATAACTTTATACCCACCAAGAAGTATTTGCTTCTCAGTTGCTGTGAGTACAAAGTCAGGTGGTGTAATGACATTCTGATCGACTAATGGAGGCTCATCAGACAGGACAGATGTTGCAATTCTACTAAAGATTATATTGGAATGAAACCAATGGATATCCCTGTGTTGACTGACGCTTGACTGATGAGTCGTCCTCACTCTAATATCAAGATTAATATTGTCGCCAAATATTTTGAAATAAGGCTGTTTTCCTAATTGTAGAACTAAATCTCTCTTGCTGTCATCCACTATTTCATCTAGGATCCTCAGCTTTAAAGTTGAACTTTGAGTGAGACACAGTCTATTTAACCTTGCCAGTAACTAATAGAGCAAATTAAATTAAAGTATTAACTGTGGCTTATGAATGTATATAAGGTAATGAAGTTTACTACTAGAATATTAGCATCAATATATTGATGTATAGTGGTGTAATTTGGGGAGTTTAACTAATTGTAGAAACATACATTTTGTGGAAGCAAAGATAGTATTTTCTGTAAAATAATGAGTATGGAAGGGAAAGAATTTTTTATTTTGCCCAGAAAAATGTACAACCGGGTACATCTCCCAACCAAATCGCCAGAGAGATCAGATAATGTAAATAATTCCTCATTCTTTTTACCACATATACATTGTTCTACTTGTCAAGTATCCTTACGCAATCATCGAGGACCATCAGGGCAACTTTGCAGGGATAACACCAGCAACTCGTTCGATTTTTATAAGATGGCTACTTCAACTCCCACACAGCAGGACGACGAAGCATGCATCACATCGTCACCACTACAAGATAAGTTAACTGAAACTCGCAAACTGATCCATAGTTGGAGTTTAACAACATCTCAGGACTAAAAAGATATGCTGGAGGCTCTTCGTCAAGTAAACGAACAACTGCAAATTGAATTACAAATAGAGGCAGAAATGGCCAAAAACGAAGCTCTCAAAAGCAAAGTCAAGAAAACACACAGTTCTAAATCCAAAGTGAACACTGGTGACGAAAAAAAAAAGACCGTAGAGCGAAGAAAAAGTTGCAAATAGTAGAAACCCATAGCTCAACCGATTCTGAATCTGAGCAGTCTACATCATCCTCAGATTCCAATGGTGATACCATACGAAAGGTAGGAAACTAGCTTATGATGTATTTCACCCTAAATTAAAGAAAAAGAAGCCAAAATCAGGTGCTGCAAGAAAGTCTACTGACCAAGTGTTCCATGGCCCCATGAGTTTACAAGTAAACTGGCTACACATGGTTCAAATACGGATGAGTTGCCATACAACCAACTGACCCTCCCAGCATTGACAAGGGGCGAAATTTATATCATCTTTCACCAAGAGCCTGAACCGAATACAAGCAGCTAAGAGCCAGCCATCTTACTGACTTACTGCACTTGTGTGAATTGTATACTTGGAGCGAAGTCCGCAGTTACCATGCCGAAGTACTGAAGGAAATAGAGAGAGGTTTACAAAGATGGAACGGTGACTTTTCGCATATTAAGGCAAGATGTCTCTTTACTAGGCAGACTAGCAGCATAAGAGATCAGACACGCTACTGTGGCAACTTCCAAAGGGGGCAGTGCAGGCATGGGAGTGATCATCAAAACCAGGCTGGTGAGACAGAGTACCATATTTGCCGCCCGTGTTTATTCATACGCAAAGTCAAGGCCACACATTCAGCCAAGGACTGCCCACACAAACCAAAGGAATGACAACAACATACCAATATACAAAATAGTAGTGACAGTTACATTAATCACGATCCAAGCAGTACCATCACCGATACCTCAATTGTATTACCCCCTCATAAACATTTTGTCCCCACGTTGGACTTGGTCTCCCAGGACCACACAAATACATCACTTAACAATCATGTCCCCACGTTGGACTCGGTCTCCCAGGGCCACACAAATACCTCTTTTCATAATCATGTTCCCGCACCACCGAAGAGCAAACCATAGTTACCTTGTATGGAACGTGTATCCCCTCGATGGATACCAACACATAGCATAGCATAGCAGTAGCACATAGCAGTAAAAGACCAGACCAATCTATTGCGCACTACAGTCAAAATACCCACAAGGACACAGGTGATGATATTGTAGGCTCTAACGAGGTTACGCTAAATCGTTTTAACTACCCATTATACACTTATAAAAAACATTAAGAAAAAACACCTTTATTTAACCAACACCAGCATTATCGAACCACCAACTATCAGCTGGCCACCAACATCCACATTGAATTTTGACTTCTTGTGCAAAGCACACACAGTTATCGTGCAATCAGGCAAGCCAAACCAGGATCAGCGAATTACCGTGCCATCAACATTCAATGTAGAACTGTGGCATACATCGCTACATGATTAGATTGATAACATTATCGTAGACTTTCTGCAATTTGGTTGGCCAATCAACTACACAGATAGCGTGCTACCCCACACATTCAAGCACAATCACAATTCTGCAGTCAATTTTTCATCACATACTGATTCATATATTGCCAAGGAAACCATGCTTGGAGCGCTCGCCGGTCCATTTTCAGGCAATCCACTATCACTACCATTGGCATCATCTGTACCAAAAAAAGGGTTAACCGAAAGGCGAACTGTTATGGATCTATCTTTTCCAGCAGGCACATTAGTCAACGATGGCATACCAAATGACAATTTTCTTGGTGATCCATATAAACTTCGGTACCCATCAATTGACAACCTGATTCAAATTATAAACCATTATGGTCAAGGTTGCTTATTGTTCAAAGCCGACATACGGCGTTGCTACAGATGGATTACAGTTGATCCCCATGACTATCATCTGTTAGGTTTGGCATGGAGGGGATTACAGTTCTTCGATACCAAGCTTCCATTCGGTCTTCGGTCAGCCGCCATGGCATGTCAAAGAACAACAAACGGGCTCATGCACATTTATCGCAAATTGGGATACCAGGCCACCAATTACATTGATGACTTTGCAGGAGGAGAGGCACCAGCGAATGCACAGAAAGCCTACGACTCACTCAAAGACACAATTACTAAGTACGGGTTTGAGCTGTCAATTGAAAAATGTTGCCCACCAACGACCTGTCTAACATTTTTGGAAAAACAATTTGACACAATAAAGATGCAAGTTAGTATCCCAGAACAAAAACTCAGTGAAGCAGAAGAGCTGGTATCAAAGTTTTCACTCAGGAAAAAATGCACTAAACGAGAGCTTCAATCACTCATTGGCAAGCTGGCATTTATAGCAGACTGTATACATCCTGCTCGACTATTTCTTTGTCACATGTTGGTACTCCTTCGTAAGACCAACAAGAAACATCATCATATTAAACTCTGCCTACTTCCGTAGGGATGTTGTTGAGACTATCGATAATACATTGAGAATATTTGCAATCAATAATATATCATTTATATCGTTATCATTTATTGTATTTTTACATAGTACATCGATTATATCGTTTTACTGTTCCATTTATTCATGATGTGAGAGTGATCGCTGTTTGACCAATCAGGACTCTTCGCGGGCTTTTACTCTAAATAGGGGACTCCCCTATTCAAAAAGGTAGAATTCGAGAGTTGTGTTATTGTTTACCAGTGAGCCGTCTGCTGTAAGTTTTGTCGTGGAACTTTACATTGTAAACTTACATAGTTTTGTACTTGCTACTGGACATTGTGTTACATTGTGTTAGTGTTTGGTTCCTTCAAGAATTCTGCGATAATAAAGTGGTTTGAGTTCAGTGTTATCGCTGTGATCGTGATTCTGTCCCCCCGCGAACTGTCCATTGCGGCAGTATTCCAGGTGAAACCCCAAGTTAAATATTTCGAACCTAGCGTGGGGACCAAGTTTAACGACGAGTCCCAGATACTTATTCAGTATCAAATTGTCCCCCCAACAGATGTATCATGGTGGATCGCATTCATGCGTTGTTACAACGGTGTCAGCACAATTCCAGAAACTGTTCTCAGCACCAGATATGCGATTAGCTACAGATGCATGCCTTACTGGTTGTGGTGGCTGGTTACAAAAACACACAAGTGTTATTGAGTACTTTTATACTGAATTTCCTTCTACAATGCTCAACATGCCAATAGCCGCACTGGAGCTAACAGCCATTCTGGTTGCACTACGCCTATGGGCAATGCAGTTATCAGGGAAATCACTCATTATATACTGTGATAATCTAGTCTCTGTTTACATCATTAACTCTGGGTCTGGCAGAGAGGAGCAGTATAATATCTGGTTGATAACGACAACATACAATATACGGCTAAGGGCAACTCATCTGTCTGGGGTGGACAACAGAGCAGCTGATCTACTTTCACGGTGGCACAAGCACCAATCCCATGCAGTCAATTTCATCAGCTCTATGTCACAATTTAAACTGGTAGAACAACATGTGCAGGAACAAGATTTTATAATTAACCATAACATTTGAATTTTTTCAGGTAATACAATAGAGGAAATAAAAGCTGAAGTTAAAAATC